GAGTTTTTTACACCCCTGACCAACACAAACGTTGCCGTGAAAACCTGGCATGACTCTTAAATCACTTCGGTGCTTCTGAGAATGTTCAACCAGCTGTCCCTGGAAGCCCATGGAGCTATGCCAATTGACAGCCCCTGAGGATCTAGCCTAGATCATCATAGCTAAGTGAAGCAGCAGCTCTGGACCCAAAAGGCTACCTGAAAATACAGGACAAACAGGCAAAGGAGAAACAAACAGGCGGAGCTCATCGGACAATTTTATGCAGGAAGGATGGGGATTCTGTCTACATTACATAAGAACATAAGAACAGCCGTACTGGGTCAGACCAAAGGTCCATCTAGCCCAGTATTCTGTCTACCGACAGTGGCCAATGCCAGGTGCCCCAGAGGGAGTGAACCTAACCGGTAATGATCAAGTGATCTCTCTCCTGCCATCCATGTCCACCCTCTGACAAACAGAGGCTAGGGACACCATTCCTTACCCATCCTGGCTAATAGCCATTAATGGACTTAACCTCCATGAATTTATCCAGTTCTCTTTTAAACGCTGTTATAGTCCTAGCCTTCACAACCTCCTCAGGCAAGGAGTTCCACAAGTTGACTGTGCGCTGTATGAAGAACTTCCTTTTATTTGTTTTAAACCTGCTGCCTATTAATTTCATTTGGTGATCCCTAGTTCTTGTATTATGGGAATAAGTAAATAACTTTTGCTTATCTACTTTCTCCACATCACTCATGATTTTATAGACCTCTATCATATCCCCCCTTAGTCTCCTCTTTTCCAAGCTGAAAAGTCCTAGCCTCTTTAATCTGTCCTCATATGGGACCCGTTCCAAACCCCTAATCATTTTAGTTGCCCTTTTCTGAACCTTTTCTAGTGCCAGTATATCTTTTTTGAGATGAGGAGACCCCATCTGTACGGAGTATTCGAGATGAGGGCGTACCATCGATTTATATAAGGGCAATAATATGTTCTCAGTCTTATTCTCTATCCCCTTTTTAATGATTCCTAACATCCTGTTCGCTTTTTTGACCGCCTCTGCACACTGCGTGGACGTCTTCAGAGAACTATCCACGATGACTCCAAGATCTCTTTCCTGATTCGTTGTAGCTAAATTAGCCCCCATCATATTGTATGTATAGCTGGGGTTATTTTTTCCAATGTGCATTACTTTACATTTATCCACATTCAATTTCATTTGCCATTTTGTTGTCCAATCACATGTGGTTCGAGTACCAAGCTCCTCAAGCCATCTCTAATTTCCAGGGAGACGCTCAGGCTATACTGGATGGCTGGATGCTCTTTCTGCCTTTAAATGGCCCTGTCTTTCCTGCCCCAAAGGGCTAAGGGCAGGGAGAAGCTAGCAAAGTAAGCACAGTTCTCCCCCGTCTTGCCTCTGAAAATTGCACCGTTCCTGCTGTCATGCGTTTTGGTAATCTTCCTCGCCTCGGTCTCTCCCTCTCCCACTGCAAGAGGGGATGAAGCGTTGACAGCTGTGATGCCGGGATTTTTCTCTTGCTTGAAATGCATTAATTTGTAAATATCTTCATTTATATGTAAATGTGGCGTTCTTATCCCTGAAGTCCTGTCGCCAATCTAGCAAAAGCACCAGCAGCCCTTGCCTCCAACTTGATTCCTCTTCGTATAATGGTTGGGTTGTTGGCTTCCTCCCCCCTCTCCCTTCCCTTAATTTTAGTTTAAAAGCTTTCTTCCTCTGCAACGCCTCCCTCCCCCCTGCTCTTTGGATGAGCGCAGGTAGGAAAGAACCATTGTACCAACAGTTCACGTCTTGACATGTCCATCCAAAGCAGCTGCTCTCGTTTCACTAAAAAGCAGCCTCGCACACTTTCAGCTGTCATGAGACAAAGTACTAGCATCTGAGTTTCCAATCAGCCTTTGCAAAGATCGGCCGATATTCAGAACTGGGTCAGGAGAGACAATGCAGAGAAAGAGAGGAAGATAGGAGGTGCCACAATGGAACTGGCAAGGCAGTAGAGAACAGGCGACATTCTCGCTCCCGCTCATCACGGTCTTTGTCACGAGGATGAACGTCATGATTTACAACGCATGGTTGGCTCGTTGGCCATGCTTTGCGCTTTGATTGGCTTCCAATATGCCTCTTCCTTAGTGGTTCTCCAGGTGATGACAGTGGAACGGGCACAGAAAAGGTCAGAGTGACTGAGCGTCCTGATTTCAGTTGCAGTCCTTGGAGACATTAACATGCTCGACATGGGCTCCAGAGAGGAGATGCCTTGGATAGGAGCCTCAAATTCCCATCCACCTGAGTGCACAATGCTACCATTCAGACCCAGTAACATTGCAGCCCCACGGCACTGCTGTAAGTGACCGCGCAAGGAGCTGGGCAGTGAAGAATCGGGCCCCAGGAGGCCAACACAAACTCATGAGATTCCATCCCGGGCCTCAGAGGGTGGAGTTCACGCTGTGATCATGGCCTTGGGGACGAACAACAAACAGAACGGAACTTTGCTGGAGAATGGAACGGCCCATCTCAGACTTCATACAGACACAGTCATGTTTTTCGTAACCTTAATCCCAGTCTCCGAGGCCTCTTAGGTACTGGAGGGCCCTCTGCTGCCTCAGGGTGACCCAGGCCATGGCTGACTCTAGACATATGGGAAGCCCACAACTGTATATGGGGGCCCCACCCATTAAACTGTCTAAGTGTTGGTCTATGGCCCTGCAAACCTCCAAATATGGAGTTGAGGCCTAGGTGCATCCAGACCGGGTAGATTCCAGGATAGGGTCCCAGTGAGGAAGAGGCGAGGCCCATGGGCGATCAGGGAGGTTGCATCAACGTGGATGAGGTTGCTGCCCGTCAGGATTTTGCCTGTCTCCTCTGCCCAGCTGCCAAATCCTCTCACCTGGGCTCTGTTCTATATCTTTGTGGTAAGGATCCCAAATGCTGTGGCCTTGTTACCGGACAGAGCAGGCAGTGTCCAGCCATTCAACTATTGACCAGCAAATTGTTTCAGCAACTCAGGGTATGAAAGCCTCACTGTTCAGCTCACGGGCTTAGTAAAGGGGATGGACAGACAACAGCGTTTGTGTCCGACGCCAGCACCTCTCGCTCGGTGGAGCCATTGAGTCCTGGCTAAAGCTTCCAGTCACCCGCACTCCTTTCAAGCAGGTATCGACCCGTTAGAGGGGCCTGGATGCACAACAGGAGTTAGGTGTTGTGATGCTGAGCCTCACAACTAACTTACAGGCGCCTAGAAAATCACAGGCACACACCGGAATTCACGAAGCCTGAGGGAGACGCCGAATGGGGAGAGATGACGCCTTCGACGGTGGTTCACAAACGCCAGCATGCCTGGGCTAGCCAACGGGAGAGGCTGACCAGAGGGGTGTATGTTAAGTCCTGTCCCCTCACGGAGATAGGCGCCTAGCTCTGCTAGCGATTCTCGGCTGCGAACCCTCTCTGGCATTCGGCCCCTAGGCTACAGTCACTGCCCGGCCTGTGCTCTCTCACTCGTTATCTCTCTGGCACAAACGACTCTATAATGATTTATTGACAGTGGAACAACCGCAATAGGAGAGACAGAGGGAGCCCTGCACTGGGATATCCCATAGCCCGGTCATAAGAGCACTCACCTGAGAGGTAGCTGATCCCTTTTGCCTCTTGGTGGAGGGGACTTGAACCAGGGCCTCTCACGTCCCAGGAGAGTGCCCTGACCATTGGGCTAAAGGCTATGAGGGAGCTCCTCCTGTCCCCTCTACCCAGGCGGTTCTGTGTGAAGTCCTGAGGGGCCCGAGCTGGTCGGCGTGCTCAGAGGGCACCGACCCGATCGGGCGCCAGTACCTCGCATGTGAGTTAGGCCTATCTTCCCTGGCTCGCAAATTGCTCTGGGGCTAAGGCAGGAGACAGGCGCCTAGAAGGCGGCAGCGGTGCACGTGGTCAGAGGCAGAAACAGTGGCACCGAGGGAACTTTTACTGCGAGAACATAGGTGTTGAGTGAATTTAGGAGCCTACAGGGTTTGGCGGTAGTTTTGTGAATCGCAGTGGGAGCCTAAACCCGGGACTGAGGTGTTTAAACCCAGACATAGGTGCGTAAGTCTGGGGTTTAGATATGTAAATACTTTTGTGAATCTAGGCCAGAGTCATAGAGTTGAAGGCCAGAAGGGACCACACGAGACCCTCTAGTCTGACCTCCTACATATCACAGGCCATCACCACCCAGCCACCCTCACCTCATGCCCCACAACCAGAATGAGACCAAAGTATTGCAGCCCTCAGGAGATTCAACAGTTGTGTGCCACAGGCAGAGAACAGGAGGGACTGAGGTGCACCAGTGCCTGAGGTCCCTGCAATGACGGAGCATTGATAAAGTGAGAGATGATCTGAGCAAGTGACCTGCACCCCACACTGCAGAAGAAGGCAAGAAAACCCCATGATTCTTGCCAATCTGACCTAGGGGAAAATTCCTTCCTGCCCCCACGTCTGACAATCAGTTAGACCCAAGTATTGAGTATCTGGGACAATGCCCACTTCTGCTACTTCTATTGAATGTGTGTCAGGTATTGCATCAATATTTGGGGGCGCTGGGTCTCTGTTAGGTTGTCTGGGTTGGAATTAGGGTTCTGAACCCTTTGGAGGCATTTCTATCCAGATCTCAGTCCAACGACAGCAGCTTGAACCCATCTCTGGAAATGATTCAGGTGTTTCCTGTTCCACACCTCTGGATTATAGCCTACACTCGCTGGATGTTAGCTGTCTGTATCAGCATCAGCACTGGGCAAAGAGAGTAAATACATCACGGAGAGTACAATATATATGTCCCAATTGTCCTAAAAATGAGTGGTCTGTGCATGCTTTGCCTCATGGTAGGTTTGCACAGTTCACACCAGGATGAAGACACAATCTCCCCCTCTCCTCACCCCCACACACAATGTTTTAATTCAGTAGATTCCTCTGAAATTGCTATCTCATATAATTTAGGAAAGTTCTGAGCACCCTCTTCAATGGAGGTGCAATTGCTTACCGCACTGTTGACTGGTACACCAAGTCCTCTCTCTTGCGATAATTCTCCATGTGCGAGTAGTTGGTGGAGAACATGGCATCAAAGGTGAAGATCTTCTGTTTGATGGTACCACCATCTGTTACCTGCCAAGGACACACACATGTATAAGAATTTGATAGCTGGGCTTGTCCTAAATAGGCAGACAGATCGCAGCATTGTACATCTTACTGGACCAGCATTTGATTCAGAGATGAGTCCAAGCTACCAAGTTCAGAGCCAAACTCCCTCAGAGTTTATGAGGTGTTCAGATCTGGAGTCTCCATTTGGCTCCATCTCTACATTTGATGCACAAGCTTTCAGGCTAAAGTAGGGGTGGCTTTGTTATTTGTCAACCATGATCCCTACAGGGACAAAGAGACCAGTCTAGCTCAAATCCCTGTATAACAAAAACGTACGTTTCCCCAGCACACAGCTCTGCATGGGGCCATGGGCTTTTCCCAGGTGGAGAAGAAAGACCTGGAGCCTCCTCCTTCACAATAAATGGAAGTCACCTCTGTTGGTCAGTGAAAGTTACACAGAAGATAGACAACCATGCGGCTCATTGGGCTAGTTCCCATAGCTCGCGAGCCCCACGCCATCCGCCCCATGCTGCCTCTGTGTCCCTGGCAGTGCTCGCTGATAGTAAAACACAGAAGCCAGCAAACCCACAATCTCCTGCCAACCCAGATCTCCTTCCAAAATCTCTGACTGCGTGGGGGAGGGCAGAGCTTCTTCCTCTTATGATCAGACACTGGCCCAAACTACCAAGTTTAGAGGGGTTCCAATCCAGAGTTGTTGCCCAACCTGTTACAGCGATAGAGACCAGAGTTTGAGGGGGTTTAGATCCAGGAGTTTGGTACCGGACCCGTCTCCAGTAATTGTCTATCACGTTTTATAAATCACAAGAGAAGAGCACCCATCCAATGCTCCGGGTGCCCTCAGACAGACAGACATGTCAGTTACCCCGAGATTCAATGGAATCACCTAGCTGGAACAGAAACGGAACACAAACTAATCTACCTCCTCACACAATCCCCCAAACCATAGACCACCATTACTGAGCCCTACCGAATGCCCAGCTCCTCCCAGAGAAGGACGGACGGTCCAATGGTTAGCGAAGTAGCCTCACTTTTAGGACACCTGAGTCCAATTGCCAGCACAACCACAGACTCCCTGGGTGACCGTGGGTAAGTCTCTCTGGGCCTCAGTGCCCCACCATAGTATGGGGATAACTGCACTTCTCTGGCACCCAGGGGTGTTGGTACACGGACTCTGTTAGAGATTGTGAGGGGCTCAAATGCTCTTGTCATGCAGGCTAGATAAGGACCTTAGCTAAAAGACAGAAAAGGTGAAAACCTTGAAGGTGTCTCCCTCCCCCCCTTCATCTTTTCTGTCCGCTTTTAAATTTTTATTTCCTTTTCCCACAAACGATTAAAAAAAACAAACCTGCCCCACTCTCATCTGCTAGGCTGTTATCTCTGCAAAGCTCCCTGCTATCCCATCACAAGAGCAGGGGCCTTTTCTCTGGCTTCATTTTCTCGGACTCCTATCTCCAGCCGGCTGGTCTGATTTTCTCGTTAAAGGAATCTTATTGTAAAGGCGGGTGGGGATTAAGTTGCCCTGTCGTCTCCGTCCATCTCCCCCACCACCACCCCCGACTCCATTCTCTGTAAAGTTTTGAGATTTATAATGTGCCCCCCCCCACACACACATAATCACAAAAAGTCAAAGTAAGGCTGTTCAAAAACAAATTAGTACAAAGTTTTTAAAAAAGTAAATGGGGGAGAGAGAGAGAGAGAGAACAAAAAATAATCCAGAGGGGAGGATAAAATAAAAGAAAGAAACTTTGATCCACTATTCACGCAGTTGGCTTTTGAGGTCTGGCAGTGGGGCCACAATTTCCGCAGACTGCCGGAGGGTCCAGGAGCTCGCCTGCACCGTGCGAGTGCCGTAAGAAACAGGCCAGGGCTTTCAAAGCCTTCCCGAGCAGCAGGGCTGTGTGACTTAGCCCGCCGTGTGGCTGCATTTTACCGCTTGTCTCAGCAGCTTCCTGATAAAAATCGAACCCTGAACACTCTGCAAGGGACCTGGCTGCATGTGGATGGGGATGGTGCCTCTTGAGTAGCAGCTCTGGGTCAAAAGGTTACCCTGAGTGGGGGGCATAACAAAGGAGCTCCCTGATTTTCCCTCCCCTTGTAGCCACTGTCCCCACTGGCTGTCACCCCACCTAGATCACCGGCTACGACGAGAACGTAAGAGCAGCCAAACTGGGTCACATCAATGGTCCATCTAGCCCAGTATCCTGTCTTCCGACCATGGCCAATGCCAGGTGCCCCCGAGGGAATGAACAGAACAGGGAATCATCAAGTGATCCATCCCCTGTCGCCCATTCCCAGCTTCTGGCAAACAGAGGCTAGGGACACCATCCCTGTCCATCCTAGCTAATAGCATGAATTTATCTAGTCCTTTTTTAACCCTGTTATAGTCTTGGTCTTCACAACATCCTCTAGCAAAGAGTTCCACAGGTTGACTGTGCATTGCGTGAAGAAATACCTCCTTCTGTTCGTCTTAAGCCTGCTGTCTATTCATTTCATATGGTGACCCCTAGTTCTTGTGTTAGGAGAGGGAAGGGCAAGGATGAAACAGAGGGGAGAGAAAGTCCATGTGTCCTGTGGCTCAGCAAGCAACGGGGACCCTAACTCTCCATGGGCAAGGAGAGATTTGTGGTGCATGAACCCAATGCTGCTGCGAATAAAAGGTGGATCTATGTCCTTTAAACACAAAGGGGGTCTGTTGCGTATGTGACTCCTTTCCATACGTCTCAGCGAGTCAGCAAGATGCACTAACGGGCCTACCAGTGAAACGTCCACTGCAGGACTTTCAAATTCCACTAAAGCTTTAACTAGCTCTTCCATTTCCCCTTAGAGCATGTATTTCTCACTTAGCCCATCTGAAAATTAGGACCTGAGAGCCAAACACTGTGTGAATATCAGGAATCCAGATTCGGGTCCGATCCATTTGGAATCCACATCCCCGATATGAATTTCACAACAGGAGTTCATCTCTAAAACAGGCCAAATCAACTTGCAGCTCCTTGATGCTGCACTGTTCAAGGTCTAGATCTGGATCCAAATTGTGCATGTCGGGCTCATATCTATTTAAAACAAAGGAGTAAACGTGCTAAGGGAATAAAGCGCTCCTGGCACCTCGAAGCAATTTCAGAGTCATTCAGCGGCTTATATGGGAACTGCTTGCACAAATGGAGCCAATAAAATCCAGGAGCAGCACTTTGCAAATACACGGGAGAAGGAGTCAGCCATGTACATCACAGAGAACGACATTGTAAATATAAAGCTCCTGCCACTGAGCGGTGTTGGGAGTCCGGCTATGCTGCCTCAAGGCATTTTGCAGCAAGGGCTTTGCCTGCATGGCAAATACGTTTCGCTCTTAATTGTGCAAAGGCTGCATAGCAAACAGTGGCAGGTCTGCGGTCTGTAATTCAGCTCCGATGGTGGGCAGCATTTGCAGTTTATGACTTCCTAGAGTTGATTGACAGTGGCTCAGGTTGATTTAGAATCCAATGCTGGAGCGGGGCAGCTATTCTGGCTGGAACTCCCCCCCCCCCCCCCCCCAAATGCAGATTTAGTTCAACCAACACATTTTGCAGATTTGTGTCAAATTGTTTGTCAGAAAACCCCCCTGAAAAAAATTCAATTCAGAACATTTCTTTTCAGTATTTACTTCAATTCCATTGGAAAAAAGAGAGAGAGAAAAAAAGCTCAAACATGAAATGAAACATTTCTTTTGACATGAAATCTCCCGCCGCCCCACCCCCCAACTTTTTGGTTCACTGAAAATTCCAAAGAAATTTTGTGTGGGGTCAACCCAAAACTAATCTTTGTTTTTGATTTTTCAGAACAAAGCAATCAGTTATTCACACAGCTCTGCCCACCACCACCCAGGCTCCCAGACCTTTTCTCTGACTGTTGTCCTAGCCCGCAGCTCATATGGGAGAATAAAAATGATCGGGGTCAAAAGTGACGGTGCCCATAATGGCTGGAGCAATGACTATACTTCCAGACAAGGTGTTTACAGACATGAGTAAAGGGATGGCTACACCAAGGCAGCAACAGAATAAAACCACAAGGAGAAGCTTGTTGGGAATTTGAGGAAGGGGCTAGGAGGTCATCCAGATGCTCTGGATGGTCAATAAATGCACTGATAATGCTTATGATCAATGCACAGATGAACAGCATCAGTAATATTCCATTTTAGAATCAGCCCAAGCACATGCTGGGTGCTTCAGAAGAAGGCAGCCCCACCTATCTCCCATAATGCAGCTAGCAACCCCAATTGCTATAGAGGAGGGGAAACTTCCTTCCTGACCCCTACAGGCAATTGACTGTGCCCTGAAGCCTGAGATTTGATTATCCTTATCTTGTAGGGTTGGGTACTAAATGCTTGTAAAACATTTCAAGTTCATCCTAAAAATGATCCATACCCTGCTTTTTGGTTTTAACTCCAGCTTGCGGAGTCAACATCCTGCGACTGTGAATTCCATTCCTCCATGACACAGCCCCTCTTCGTTTTACAGTCTGCACCGTGTTTGGGCTCGGGGCAGGGAAGAGGCTTAGAAGAGGAGAAAGCCAAGCAGGAAGGCACTTGCACGTTGGCCTTTCCGCTTGCATCTGCCTTTCTCCTCCTGCCAGGTATGGCTCCTTTATCTTGCTCTTAAAATGCAGCCTGCGCTACCATTCCTATCTCAAATTTCACTCTATTTTTTTTTATTACACAGAGGAGGAAAAAAGCTGTCAGTAAAACTGTCTCTTCAAATTTATTTGCCTAGGCTGTGGCTTTTATTACAAAGAAAATACATACTCACACATACACAAGATAAAGAACTGCAAAAAGAATTATCCAAGCCATAAATCTCCGGCTCTTTGGGGCAGGAGGGGAAGTTTTCAAGGATGTGTGTCATTTACCCTCACCTTTATTTACATTTTTTTCTGGACCAAGCCAATGAACCTGCTCTGGACCAGCGATAAAGAGAAAGTTTTACAGTCGCTAACAGAGCCAGGAACCTAGTAGCAGCTCTTTCGTTGAA